TCTATGCAAGTTTTAGACCTTGAAACACTTTGTATGACCTTATATAAGAGTTTACGGCCATGAGGAGGGTCTCATGGGCCGTAAACTCCATAACACCCCTCAAATGTCCCATAAAACTCATACTAGGCCTTGGAATAATCCTATTAATCACATGTGATTTGTTTTAACAACATTTAACACAAACTCCCATAAAAATAATCATTTTGATGATTTAAATTGATTCCAAGTGTTCCAATGCAATTTAGATAATCCATTCTAGCAACCCCTATGTCCATTTGAGCCCTTAAACCATCAAAACCACACCCACATGAGTTTACGGCCGTAAACTCATGTATGTGTGTGTTTTATGGTTGTAAACTCTTTAAAATGTTTACTCTTGGGGAGTAAACTCAAGTCCCAAGTCCCTAGTGCCATTACAAGTCCGAAGATGTCACCCGGGTCACTCCGAACGCTCGTTTTGAGGTGTTTAACCTCATTGGAGTGTAATGTCCCATATGATTAGTGAATGTATCTCTAATTGTATATATATGGACATTATATCATTTTACATAGGATCATCGCGAGTAATCAAACCCCGAACCAACGTCTAGCATTCAAAACCGACACGTTTCCGAGTCCGGTGAGTTCATACCCCTACCCTTTTTCACTGTTTTCCACTGTTTTCAGGGGGGAACACAAGCAAAGTACAAGGGAATTCTTGTACTCAAAACATGTTTTCAAATGTGTGTTTCATATTCTTATGCTTTTATAACTGATATTACAACTGATAACAGATTGAACATACAGATCACGTAACATATATTTGTGAAATAAGTCTTTAAACTAGTATGTTTTACATGTATTTCACAAATGGTTTTCCACATTTTATCAGTTAAAAGCACGACATTAAAACATTTGAACATAATACCTGTACACTGTTTTGTCCTCGGTAACACTCCCCACACATATACGAGTGGAGGACTATCATATTATTACTAGTAAATTTGTTATTCCTGTATGATTGGAGACACGTCCTCGGAGAACACTCCACCCAGATTACGCGAGTGGAGGACTACACCCATAACCAGAATCTCTGGTATTTAGAGAGCGTGACTTGAGTGTATAGATCTATACGGGGCTGACTACCCCACACCTGGCTGCTAGCTACAGCCGAACCGAAATGGTTCAAGGGTGACGAAAGTCATAAGTATGTGGACGACTTATTGCCACATGTGGACTACTTATTGCCATAGGTTTCAGTCTATTGTATGGTTATGGAACTCGCAATTAGGATAACAGAGATTTACTTACAGTAATAATGGATTACTTTATACATCGTTTACATCTTTGACATCTTTTACATCTTTTACTTACTGTAACCAACATTCAGGAAGGTATGGGACTTTCCTGGGGAAAACATAGAACCTAATCACGCTTACATCTTTTACATCTTTAACATCGTTTACATTAGATACATACATGCAGGAAAGCATGGGGCTTTCCTGGGTAACATTTACATAACTAGAAAGAGTAACAAACTAGATAAAATTACATCTTTTACAATTTGTAACATAAAATAAGGAAAGTATGGGACTTTCCTGGTAACACATGATAAGTAAACAGAACAGTTCAACCAGTCAGATAACCAACTATACAATTTCACATGAATAAACATATTTTCAGTGTACAAACTTACTATACTTTACATTTGTGAAACAATAACCAACATTAAGAAAATACGGGATTTTCTTGATGAACATAACATTTCAGACACAGAAAGGAAACTGATATATTTTCATAAAACAAAACCGCTTATGAACTCACCAGCTTTATGCTGATTTTCAAACTGCTTGTGTTCTCAGGTCAGCGTTAGAACAGGTACCCGAAGATCCTTTTGCTCGAAGACGGTGTACATGAAGATCCGTTCCTTTTGTTTATATATATAATGTATCACAACTGTACAAACTTTACTTTTGAAACAACTGTAAAACTTTTATTATGTAATGTAATGGTTGCTTTACTTTACTTACTATGTGCATTGGATTTGATACTCAACGTGGTAGTCAACCCCGGAAATGTTTTCCGCCTTCGGTTTTCGGGGTGTGACACTCGGTAACACTTTCACTTATACCTATAGTCGCTTATACTTGATGACGCTTATACTTATTCACGCTCTTACTTAGTGATACGATTTCTCCTTCACTTATACTGGATAACGACTTTACTCCACTTATACTTGATAGACATTCTTACATCACTTATTGTCGTCTCTGCTTCGTGATACACTTATACTTGGTACGATTATACTTCATGGTTCGATTATCCCACACGGTACACGTATACTTCACGACTCGGATGTTCCACTGTACTCTTATACTTCACGACTCAGATGTTCCACTGTACACTTATACTTCACGACTCAGATGTTCCACTGTACACTTATACTTCACGACTCAGATGTTCCACTGTACACTTACACTTCACTGTATGATACACACTCAAGCGTAGTTAGATGTATGTTTATGCTTGTATAGATGCATATAAATAATGATTGAAGGACTTAGGAAGGCTTGTCCGCCCTATTTCCTTTTCTTCGTTGAGATGTGGTCTGGTGGGATCGGATGTCCATCTGAAGGTCGTTCGATTCATTAGTTATATATTATGTATACGAGCATAGACATACGAGTTTTCTTCAGTCAATTCAGTTAAGAATCTATACCTCTAGTCTACACTTACATAAGAAACCCACTCCCTCCTAGTAACACACTATCCTCTATTTGGGATGCATCTTCGGGACGCGACCTTCTCCGTCGTCTAGTTGGTAACCAGAGTCTCCTGTAGGGAGAGCGGACATTGTGTGTATAGGCCTATACGGGATTGACAACCCCGCACCCTGACTGCTAGCTACAGTCCACGGCCTACCAAGCCAAGGGGTGACAAATGTCACATTATATAGATGCTTGTATGGCGTCTAGTACTCTAGTCAGTATGGTTACGAGTATCCTGGGTTGCCTTATAATTCATGGCTTTAAGGTAACAGTATTTCGTCAGCGATTTACACTGTATGCTGATGTCACCTTTTTCAGAATCACACTGTTTTGACCTTGCTAGATGTATCTTTCAGTTGATACTGTCTGGGGTCTGTTATCTATGTTTGACCTTACTAGATGTATCTTTCAGTTGATATTGTTTGGGGTCTGTTATCTCTGTTTGACCTTACTAGATGTATCTTTCAGTTGATATTGTCTGGGGTCTGTTATCTCTGTTTGACCTTGCGAGATGTACCTTTCATTTGGTATCGTCTGCGGTCTGTCTTCATTGTTATGACCTTGCAAGATGTACCTTTCATTTGGTATCGTCTTCGGTCTGCGTTCACTGTTTTAGACCTTACTAGTTGTACTTTTCATTTGGTACCTTCTGGGGTCTGTGTCTCCATTTGTTAGACTGAACCAGGCGTGTCGTTAGTTCGATACTTTCCTGGCGTCTATGACTCTTTTGCCTTAGTCAGCAGTCCTCACTGCTGAGGCATATGTTATTCCCTAATGCCTATGCTTTCTTTAATAATCAAATTCAGTATTTTGATATTATTAGCAATTAAGGGAAACTTCTTCTTACCACATTACACTGACCAGTCTTGGTAGAAGGCTGCTTTTATTAAAGAAAATATAGGATTTTCTGGAAAGAACACTAATACACTAAAATCACTTAAACTACTGCTTTATAAAGTTATTTGACTAAATGACACTAAATACTTATGAACTCACCAGCATTGTAAAAATGTTGATACTTGCTTTTCAAATAACTTGTATTCTCAGGTTAGCATTAGACAGGTACATCCCCGGAGCTGTTGATGAAGATAGCTTAGTGCCACGCTGTATTTATTCTATTACTTGTATTACTTTAAATTGTTGTAATGTAACCTTGTAAAACTATTACTATTAATGCAATGTTTTGTTGTACTTTGATTACTATAATGCATGTGTGGTGATACTTGACATGACGTCATCCACCCCAGAACGTTTCCGCCGTTCCGGTTTTGGGGTGTGACATTACGGGATGGAAAGAGGCTGCTATAACCTCTCCAAAGGAGGTTCAGTAAATAGGGCTCTTCCCGTTATAGCACGTCGTATCGCTCGTAACGGGGAACAAGCACGAGCATCAGTCAACCAAATCATGGATGTTAACGCTACTGCTCAAGTCACCACAGTTCGACTTCGTCGTCTGGAAGAAGACCATGATCATACCAAGAACCACACTGAAGCTCTTCAAGAAGAGATGACTGCTTCTGGAGCCGAAGTAAGAGCACTTTGCGGAGCATCATGCTACATTAGAAAGTCGTTTGATGGAAACAGAGTGTCATGTGATAGCTTTTCAACATGACCCTCGAAAATGCCTCATTTCTTTTAACTATTCTTTTGTTTTTATGTAATGCATTTTTTCTAAAAAATATTTTTACAATTTTTATAAATCTTTTTAAAGTAATTTTTTTTTTTCAAATTCATGTAAACATTGTTTACAATTTATTTTCCAACTTTTTTACAACTTTGTTTTTTAGTTTCTTTAAAGTTAATTTTTTTTTTAAATTGGACAACTTCTTTTAGATTATTTTTTTAAACTTCGTTTACATGAAAAGTTTTCTGCAGCAACTTGCGGAAGGATCAACCAGCTAGTTACATATATACAAATAGTAAAAGATAAAGTTCAAATTACAAACTAAAAATCATACAAACCAAACTTCAATAGTAAATTGAGATTTGGTATTCATTATTCATATTTATTTAGAACGCCAAATCTAACTTATTCATATATTACATAATTTCAAAATTACAAAACTAAAAATCATACAAACCAAACTTCAACGGTAAAGTGAGATTTGGTATTCATTATTCAAATTTTTTTTAGAATGGTAAATCTAACCTAACATATATCAAGTTGAAGTTCATTCTATAGCCATCTAGCGTATGATCCTGAGGAAGCAATTACCAAACCTAAAAACCAGTTATGGTACAAGCTGCCACTCAATGAGACTGCTGCACAGCAGCTGTATACGCCCACTGAAGAAACAACAACCAAGGCGTAATTTCCATAAACCCAATTTTGGAAACCCAAAACGTTCTCCACCCGCAAAAGCACCGATCGTTTCAGACTCAAACATAGTGCAATGGAACAACGCAATCACCAACTACATGCGGAGTGGCCGATGCGATTCAGCTCTATGTATCTTCGAAAAGATGACCCGGCGAACTTCAGTTTCATGGAATGCAATGATATCTGGATACTTGCTGAACCATCGGTTCGATCTTGCTCACCAGATGTTCGTGAAAATGCCCGAAAGAGATTTAGTTTCATGGAATGTGATGATTACGGGGTGCGTCCGAAATGGTAACCTAGGTGCTGCGAAGAGACTGTTTGATCAAATGCCCCATAAGGATGCGGTCTCTTGGAATGCTATGTTGTCTGGTTATGCGCAAAACGGATATGTTGAAGAAGCAAGGATGGTTTTTGATAAGATGCCAAACAAGAATTCTATCTCGTGGAATGGAATACTTGCAGCCTACGTGCAAAACGGGAGGATAGACGAAGCACAGAAATTGTTTGAATCAAATCCATCCTGGGATGTGATTTCTTGGAACTGTTTGATGGGTGGGTATGTAAGGAAGAAGAGACTAGTTGATGCACGATGCCTGTTCGATAAAATGCCAAAGAGAGATGAAGTGTCTTGGAATACGATGATTTCAGGTTATGCTCAGAACGGGCAATTATCCGAAGCTCAGAAGTTATTCGATGAGTCTCCAATTCGAGATGTGTATACATGGACAGCTATGGTATCCGGCTATGTGCAGAATGAAAAGCTAGATGAAGCAAGAAAGGTGTTCGATGAAATGCCTGTGAAGAACTCGGTTTCATGGAATGCAATAATCGCTGGATATCTACAGTCCAAGAAACTCGAGATAGCAAAGGAGCTGTTCGATGCAATGCCTTGCAAAAACGTTAGTTCTTGGAACACTATGATTACAGGGTTTGCACAGAACGGCTTCATTGATCTTGCTATGGAGTTATTCAAGAACATGCCCAGGCGTGATTGCATCTCATGGGGTGCAATCATTGCAGGGCATGCTCATTTGGGACACAATGAAGAAGCTTTGCGATTGTTCATAGAGATGAAAAGAGACGGAGAAAGGGCAAATCGGTCCATTTTCTCCTGCATTTTAAGCACATGTGCGGAAATCACCGCATTAGAATTGGGAAAACAATTTCACGCGCACCTTGTGAAAGTAGGGCTGGGATCCGGATGGTATGTAGGCAATGCAGTATTGGCTATGTATTGCAAATGTGGAAACATAGAAGAAGCTCATGCTACATTTGAAGAAATTAGCGATAAGGACATAGTGTCATGGAACACAATGATTGGAGGTTATGCAAGGCATGGATTTGGTAAAGAGGCTTTAGAAGTTTTCGAGTCGATGAAAAGAAAAGGAGTCAAACCAGATGAAGTGACCATGGTTGGTGTGTTATCCGCATGTAGTCATAGCGGATTATTGGACATGGGCACACAGTATTTTCGCACAATGGAAACCGAGTACTCCATAACTCCAAACCCAAAACACTACACATGCATGATTGATCTTTTAGGTCGGGCAGGCCGCCTAGATGCTGCCCGGAATTTGATCAACAACATGCCCTTGGAACCGGATGCCGCCACATGGGGCGCCTTACTTGGTGCAAGCCGGATTCACAACAACACCGAATTAGGCGAAACAGCCGCGAAAAAAGTCTTCCAAATGGAGCCCGATAACGCGGGGATGTATGTTCTTTTATCAAATCTCTACGCAGCTTCGGGTAGGTGGGGTGATGTGGGGACAATGAGGTTAAAGATGAGGGACACAGGGGTCAAAAAGGTTCCTGGTTATAGTTGGGTTGAGGTGCAAAACAAGATTCACACGTTTTCGGTTGGGGATTTGACACATTCGGATACCCCCGAAATATACGCTTTTCTTGATGATTTGGATTCTAAATTGAAAAAAGAGGGTTATGTATCTTTGCCTAAATTGGTGTTGCATGATGTGGAAGAGGAGGAAAAGGAGCATATGCTCAAGTATCATAGTGAAAAGTTAGCGCTGGCATTTGGGGTACTTAAGATACCCGGTGGGCGACCGATTCGTGTTTTTAAAAATTTACGGGTGTGCGCAGATTGTCATAATGTGATTAAATATGTATCAAAGATTGTGGGAAGGCTGATAATTGTGAGAGATTCTCATCGGTTTCATCATTTTAGAGATGGTGTATGTTCTTGTGGAGATTATTGGTGATATGTATCCAGCAATGTACTTTTGTTTTTTTAAACAATATTTTGTTTCAAAATTGTTCTGTAAATTGAAAAAAAAAAAAAAATACATATGGGTTAAACCAAGACGTATTTCAAACCATGAAATTGACTGGTTTGATCATATATTCAAGAGAACAAAAAAATAATATTTTTCCAAAAATAAAGATTTTTCACAACTAACCATAATAAATGTTAATTTCTCTTTTGCATAAAATTGGTCTATTTTAGTTTTTGGGAAAATTTTAACAATTAAGTTTTCATTTTCTATTATTAAACAATAACGAAAATGCAAGGTTGTATAATATTATGAAGGCTAGTAAAATATTTAAGGGCATGTTATTTCTATGTCTTGAACAAAATAGCAACATACTTTGTGAATGTCTAGATGTATTTATTGGTAAGTGTTTGATTAGCAAACACTCTACCTATGTGAAGATTTTAACACAAAGAAGATGAAAATGTTAGCATATCACGATTACATTAATCCATGGACAAAAAAAAAAAAGCAACCAAACGACAATTATTCATATGCCTAGTAGTGTGTCTTTCAATCCCTTTTTACCAAAATACCCTACACTCAAGTAGCATGAATCTAAACGTACAAAGTCCTAATGTTCAAGAAATGATGTGGATGTTGATCCCAAGAGTGTTTCCAGCTCCTGCAGTACCTCAAACGCTGCATATTCGGAGTTTATGTTTATGTATGGCCTTGCCACATTCAACACTTCCCTCGCTTTCAATTGCTGCGTTTAAAGTTTAATCACATGGTTAAAGTCAATAAATAGCAATCAACTTTAACTTTACTATTTTATTTCATCATAATATTATCCTACTTTCAATATTGGAAGTTACTTTGATTTGAATGTTCTACCCACTTATAGCAAAGTATACAAAGCAATTTTCACTGCTATCATTGGGTAGTTTTTCCAGAGGATTACTGCCCCAAAAGGAAAAAATAAAACTGCATGTACAATGTTATAGTTTTGAAGGTAAAATGTCTTGATAAGATAAACCAATTTTCTGTTACAACAAATGAAAGTTAGATGCTACTTTCATATACCATACTACAGCACTGTATTTTAACACATCTATCCAATTGAAACCACTTTCAGCAGAGTATAATTGCTAGATTTTTCAAAGTAAGAATAAGAAGAAACTGAATGTAATGATAATGGGAAGAAAAAAACTCAAAGTAGAATGCCATTCCTCAAAAATAAAATAATGTAATGTATCAAATGAGAGTGAGATGTTATAATACAAAAATGAGTTGCCATTTATTTAGACATACACAAACATACAAGAATAGATATTATAAAAGGGTTAAATAAATGCAACAAGTAGGCAACATATTTCATTTATAGCATCTTACCTTTAGAGCATTGTTTGAAAAAATCCACCTAATTAGGTAATTATAGCGCATTGCACTTTCAGTTTTAATTCTATCTGTTTTGTATTTGAATGACTATGTAATAGAAATAAATGGAAGTTGGATAGAATGAAGAAATAAATGAAACTACATTGCTATTTCTTGCATTTAACAACCCTTTGAACCTAAAGTCTAAACAGAAACGAAAAGCTGACAATCTGTAAACAAAAATATAAATGAAATCCCAAAAAGATAGTAGAGGGATGAAGGATGTAGGGCAGGGGGGTTTGTTGACTTACTAAATGCTCATATTTTGACTTCAATTCTTGGAAAGCTACAAGCTGCTGTGGATCTGCCACGAGTACCGAGGTCCCTGGTACAAACTGGAGTTCAAAAAAAGTCAAAGATGTAAGCTTCTCAACATTGTTATTTATTTTTGTTAATTGTTTGTAGTAAGAGTGAGAAAATTTCTTATTTTGGGACTTGATGGAGAAAGCTCAACTTGTATTTCTTACTTCTTACTATAAAAGTAAAACAAAAAAATTTCTTATTTTGAGGCATTAAACTTCAAAATCTATCAATCGTTGTATAATTGGCTACATGTTTCAAAGTACAGTGATGAATGTGATAAGAAGAAATGTCAGAAAGATTTTATAATAAACAAAGGAGTGGTGTTCATGCATGACACATTTCAGTTCCCAACTCCTTTGCCAAAACATTCTATGAACCGAATGCCCTTTTAGTTTTTTTTTTTTTTTTTTTTTTATAACTTAATGCTGATAAAACAACTTAATAGAAAATATCACTTTCCCCCAATAAGTTCTAACCTTTACAAATTTTACCTAATTTATTTTCTCCTTCCATTTCCCCAAGTGTGTGGTCATTTTCTCTAATATTTTTTAATCATTTATCCAAATATTAAGGCAGCATCAAAAAGTAAGTCTACTTTTAAGTATTTCATAATACATATATTCATATGGAGTGTTACAACTTTTGGCATCAATTGTGCTTTAGAGAATACCTATACACAACATTAAAATATCTAGACTCCTCAAAAACTATCTTCCAAACTTACACAACAATTTTTTTCTACTGATTCCTCAATCTAAAAGATATACATGAACAATTCAAAAACCAACACTAAGAGTTGAAGAATTTTAAGTTTCTAGACATGAACTATGAGTATGCATCAATCCAGTGAAAAATTTTTACAGCTTCTTTAACTAAATCTTAGAAAATATCTGCTTTCTCCTAACTCCTAAAAGCATGTCGAATGGCTGCAAGCTTTTTCCAACTTTCTTCTGACACCTAAATGCAACTTTAGCAACCACAAAAACCTCATCATATCCTCATTCCTCACTATAACAATAATATTTCATCATCTTAATTGCACTTACATTTAATATGACTTTTATTCCAATTTTGTATGCATCTATATGTCTGAACTTGAGTTACTATAAATACACATTTCTTTATATTGATGAATTTTATTAACTGAACAATATATTTTCATTAATTTTGGTATATGGACTATGGAGCAAATAATATATTAACATATCTATTGTTACAATTATATATTAATATTATAGATAACTTTCTTAATTTAACAAAATGAAAATTTAAAATATATAGGATACTTTCTTACAACACTCAAAATATTATCGACTTATAAATTTGTATTGTAAATTTTTAAATTAATTAGAATTCATATTTAAAATATGTTATAATTTGTGTAAGTAAATACTTATTAAATTAAAAGACGAGAAAAAAAAATTAAGCACCTTTGTTACTAAACAAGTCACAAATACATAAAAAGCTCACACAATGGTCAAAATTGGCTTATCCATTGGAGATTCTTTGTACATCTCTCCTTTTTTAACTGAGTTTATCCAATGGAAAACATCCAAATCACTTCAAATTCTCATCTTTCATCCACCAATACCAACTTAACCTTCTCTAAAAATCTAATTCTAATGTATCCATATTTTACCATATCTCTGCCTAAATGTACACTCACACAGCCCATTAGGAAACATTTGCAGTTTTCTACACCCATGCCTTATAGATAAATCATTATGTCTTATTACCATATTCCTACAAATCTACAGATAAAGATCCAACAACAAGCCATGTCATTTTTAAGACTCCTGAATCTTGAAACCAATTCAACAACCATGGATGGATCCTTCCACAAAACTAAGCCAAGTAACAAAAGATAATATTTCTATAAATTCTTATCAACCAGCCGTATCTTCATCTAAAAACTAAGGTTCTTGGGGGCAAAAAAAACATTTGACAAAAGGTTGTACTATACATATACATATACCCATCAAATTATGTCCCCAAATTCAAAAAGGCTAAAAATAACCCCTTGAGCCACTTGGGCTAGTCCAAAATCCAGTATACCAACATCTTCTATGTATATAGCATTTAAAGTTGGCTAATTTATGGACTTAATGAGAACAAGAATTAATCCAGTAAGCTACTATACATGGTTGCTTCTATTTGACTTAATGAGGAATCAGTAAAGGATGAATTGGAGGAAATTAAGTCCTCACTTTTTTACGAATTTGCCCAGAACATAAATATTTAAACACATGAAAAGCAACATCCATCGCAACCATCTTCTAAAGTTCACTGATTTAGCTTCTTTTTTTGTTTTCACAATATATCTAAGAAGACATGCCAGCTGTTCATTAAGTTTTTCTCTCCTATTTGGCACACGACACCCCATTACTCTAAGATGCTAAAAGATGGTAGTAATGCTTAAATTGACATCATCTACATTAAATCAAACTGGTTTCTCAAATCAAAGGTATAAATTTACACAGTAGAAATGGAAATTAAGTAAATAAAAGAAAGGTTTTACCTCATTCGGCCATCCAAATGATTGTGAAGTGGAGTTTTGTAGCTTGTTTGCAGCATCAGTGTCAGAAGTTTTGCGAGGCCGACCCCGGCCTCTTGAAACTGAAGCAGCCTGAGTATCAGTATCAGTATCCATATCAGCATTAACAGATACATTTTGTGCAGGGGCCCCCACCCTCCTAGGTCTTCCTCTTGGCCTCATCACGTTTCCTGACAAAGGCACAGTCACAGGCCTCCCAATTCTCTTGGGTCTGCCAACACCCCTCTTCTTCCCAATCCCACCACCATTGAACAGCATGATTGACATCAGCTTAGGTCTGCCAACTTTCCGCCTTACTCTCCTCTCTGCCTCCGCCTCACCACCACTACCAGAACTTGTTACAACACCTCTGCTAACACTGGAACTCTTTGGCGGCCGACCACGGCCTCTCTTGGCTGAAGCCACTGCATTCTCAGGAGACTCAACAGTTGGGGCAACACCATCATCACCCAAACCTAATGAAGCAAAGATGGGTTCAGCAGCCCCTGCATAATTTCCTTGCAACTCCTGCCCAGAAGAACCCAAGTGCTGCTCGAATTGAGGTTCATAAGGTTGGATCTCAGCTGCTGGCTGTTCATCTGGCACCTGATTTTGTACCTGGAACCCGAATTCGTGTCTGGGTTTGGGAGGACGGCCTGGCTTTCTCCTAGGTTGAACAGAAGAGTTATCAGCTTTAAAGCCAGGTGTAGTACCGAATGTATCAGTAGAAGTA